AAGTCCTAGATGCGGAGAGTGAAAGAACCAGAATAAGTCTCAAGCCCTAATGGCGCCACCATATGGCCTCGGTCATGTGGTTTTGTGATGTAAGGGAAGAGAATCTTGGGGTCATGGGGCATCCCCTGACCTAGATTCTATCTCTCAGTCATTGGCAGAATCGCTGATTAATGCCTACAGTTCAAAATAGTCATTTTGACTGACCGAAGTCTATGGTGGGTATGAACTATGTGAATAGGAGGGTTCAGAGAAGCCTCTGCCTAAATTCAGTATCTCCAGATTGATAGGTTACTATTAGGAACAGGTGAATGCAAGTTTTCAAAACCCTTTGTACCACAGGTTGATATGTCACAGGTGCATGCAGGATTTAAAGCCTTCTCACAGTGAGAGTCAAAAACATTGGAATTTTGCTATAACGAATATTTGCTGGCATAATTTGTTGGTTTCATTTCAATTATTACACCATGTTTGTCCACTATGAGTATGTAAATGAGTACCTTACACATTTACAGGCTTAGCACAGTGTTCTGAACTGTGTTGGCAGCTGAGAAACCAAGCAGACAAACGTCAGGTATCCGGTGTAAAGGCAGCATTACAACATAATATTGGACTTGGAGGTGCAGTGGTTGTCACCGCTTACAAACTAGGTTTCCCAGAGATGAAACAAGAACTTCAACCCAAAATGTCATCAAAGTTATAAACAATTACTAGATCATGGTGTATTTGATAAAGCACAGATGATCTTCTGCAGTGCCTCAGAAGTGTTGTTAACATTCATAAAAAAATCTGAATTATTATATTAATTATACCGTAGTGTTCTTTATAGGGAAACAAACAAAAGATTTTTTACAATGAGGGTGGTATTTGAATAGTAAATCATAAATGGTGCGATCAATTATGCAATGAATTTTAGATGGTATGGATAGACAGCCAAATTATCATTCACCTGCTTCATGACTAATCAAGGCTCAGAATAGACAAATATATAGTTATGTTTGAACAATATTTAAACAAAATTTTAACATGTTTTGAAGGTTTGAATGCTAAACAAACCAGTGTATACTGGTAACACAACTACATGTAAATGTACACATCAGGAATTGTGGATTTATGAACATCACACCATACAAGAAACTGCAGAATGAACTTACAAATATAAATAATTATGTAACAGAGGTATTATTTTGTATTGTAAAATTTTACATGCAAGTATGAGGAAAGGTTTTGTACAATGCTCAAATTAATCAGTATCTAGAAATGCGATGGAGCTTTTTCAGGTTTGTACAGGTGCCTTTAATCAGTCAAAACATTGATCTGAATCAATCAATTTTGTTACACATTCTCATGCCTCGATATGGGGTTCTATAAACTGTGTTTATGGAATTTATAAATGTACCGGTAATACATGTACCAAACTTTAAACAAAATAAGTGTATTTATTTTTCTTGAATTAATTTTTTTGAAATATTGGAATACCATTGCGACATGCAATCCTAACAAAATCAGTCCTGTCACAGTATTAATGTTGCCCCCAAACCCCCAATATGTACATTGTAGATCTGCTATTGAGTATCTCAATATCATTGGTTGTATATACCGGTAATCTCATTCATGTAGTCATTCAATAAATAACTTTATTTTAGTAACAAATTGGTTTGGTTATTTTTTGAAGGACTTCGCTTTGAAAAAGTTGATCCTTTGAATAATAATTTGGGATGGCACGAGTTGTCAAATATTTTAAGATTAATTTAGTATGTGTATGTCCAAGTATATTTGAATCATGAAAGCAATGTCCCTATTGAAATCTGTGCACGATAATATTTGTTTGAGAGTATTTAAAGATAATTTGACATGCATAAATCCTAATAAATGATATTTAAAGTTCAGCAATATGAAGTTGGAGGTTGTCAACTTATCCATGGGGGCTGCAGATTATTTTTTTGTTTTCCACTTTGCAATATATCTTATCTTTTCATATTTGTATACCGTGTTCTACAATACAAATTTTAGATTGTTCGGAAGCTTAAGATTGTAGTGAATTTCGTTCAATAATGCTGCATCATGTTGACTATGGTTTTGCCTGTTTACTTACTCACTGTCAGTGTCTGACTGGTATATACAAAATGCGGTCAAGAAAACGTCAGAATAGTAAAAAAAGAAAGCTAAAAGTCAATTGCCCAAGAGAGCTGCACAATCACAACAGTTCATCATCAGCCGCCACCGTCCACAGCAGCGATATGATTTTACACATAGAAATTGCCAGCAATTGAACCATCAATCCTTGTGAGTGATGTAACCTTAAAACGTGAAGTGAAAGTTGTTGAATTTGTAAGTGTGCGTCTTTTTGTACAGTGGCGTAAACATTGCTACAATCAAAGACACCCTGAATGGGAAGTCTATTTTGGGCTAGTATTATTTACACGGAAGACATTCAAGTAAGGAATTGTTAAATTGTTCGATTGGCATATATCAAAATCCTTTATCAGAACAGAACATGTTCTATATTCACCAAAAAACAATATTGCTATGTTTCTAGACACACAACGAACACGAAACAGAAGAAACCTTCCTTGAAAACCGAGTCTTATCGCCCTTTTGTTACTGAGCGAAAAACGCCAAGGCCGAAAATGACCAATTTTTGCCCATTCTTCTATGATTTTTTGAAAAAATCATTAATTCAGTCCAGTGGTTAAATAGGTTATTTATTAAAGATGCCCTTGGATCTCAAATTTGCAATGTAAATCACTCCTGTGACAAAAATCAGCAATAATGGCCAAGGAGAAACTGAATTTCAAAAATACATTTTATAAATAGAGTATTTTACTATTTAATAAAGCAGCTTTATACATGTCCAAAATATGTGATCTAAAGCACTAGTCTTGTAATCTTAATCTGTATATGTACATGAATTGTGACACACAACATTAAGTTATAACTCCCAGTAACATGCAGTTTAATGACATAATCCCAATTAGTATTTGTTGCAGTGCTTTGTTTTGACAAATTTCCCAATAAATCTGTAATTTGAACAAATTAGTATTTGCTTCTGGTCTGGTCTGGTCTAAATGCGCACAAACTGAAATAAATTGCACATACTTGGGTTGCCAAAATGTATATTTGTCTCCAGTATGAATATTCCCAATTTGGAGATAATCTTCATTTCAATGAAAAGTGCCTTGCTGTATGCTGTTGAAGGTTTATTCAATCTTTCAACACTTCAAGAGAAAATAAAACAAACAAAACTACAAGAGGTTTTGCAGTCTTTTACCCATAAAAAGGACACTGAATTGTTCTTCTGTGCATCTGTCAAATACATTAGCCCTGTTTTTTGCAACGTAGAAGTATATCAGTAAAGCTGCTACACTTCTAAAGAGAATGAAATTATTCCATCTTCAATACAGCCTTTGTTACACACGAACACAAATCCTGTTATTGAGCGGGATATGCTTATGGAGGCAAGATTAAATTTTAAAGTACAGTTTAAAGAGCTTGATCAGATGTGGTTCAAGTTCAAGTTGTTGAAAGTTTGTTATGCATATTAATAATAGTATTTTGTTCAACTCTATTTAGGAACTCGTACTGGACAGGGGGTTCTTTCACTGCTAGTATGGGGTAGACAAGAAAATAGTACTGGAAATGAAATACGCATACACCAAAATATCGAGTTAAAGCTCCTGGCTTTAATAGCTCTCAAAATAATTACAAGAAACCAAGCACAGAAAAAATACAATTAATAAATAAAATAGGGGATTGCATAGGAAAGTGTGCATTGGTGATAACTCGCAGTTCCAGGATGTAGAAATGGATGACAGTCAATGGCTTCTGCAACACAACAACTAAGAAATGCAGGAGTCTTGCTTGCAGAGGAACGCTGGTAATCTGGAGGGCACAGCTGAAAGCAGGAGATTGCAGAGCAGTTCATAAAAGTCTCACAGAATGATGGTTGAAGCCTGTATCACAGGATACACAGTAGAAATGATGGACCCCCAACTGTCTTCAGTGCAGCCTATTTATTGGTCTAAATGGGCCAGACTCGGGGACGCCACCTGGGTTTCCACATGAGCCAATCAGAATGTGTTTTTGCAAGCAGCTGTTTCACATAGGCAAGTAGATCATAAACATCTTTTGTTATTCAAATAACAGCACACCTGGTACATTCCAATTGTCCTTCCAAAGTTATAAACTTCCTTTGTTATGTAAATCACAAGCACACCTGGTAGATTCAAATTGTCAATCACCTTCCTGACAGTTATCACAGGGCAATGCACACTGTTTCTTCACACTATTTGCAGGGTTTGAGGTAATAATGAAAAAAACATGGAATAAAGGATGCTGACACTGTTTTGGAGTTCTCGATCTGATAATAAAATTTAGTTCAATATATTATGCATTATCCTGAGAAGCACATAGTTGCATACACAAGTGCCCCTCTTCATTATGCCCCTCTAGGTTGGTGAAAAATTATTTGGAAAATTATTTGAACTTTTATTTTGTAGCGAAAAAAGAAATTTGAGTCAAGTTTTTTCTCAAAAACTACACGACGTCTCACCGCCATAAATTTGTAGCCGGGTTTCAAATTCCCGGCTTATCGGATACGACTTCTCATGACTGTACCGCTGATCACTGTAGTAGGCCAACCTCAGATTTGGAAAATTGGAAATTGGAGACGTAATGTAAATGACCGTCACGTAACACGAGTCAAATAAGTATACTCACAGCTTGTTAATGATGAGATTCAACTGACACCAAAATGGTGATGATTTGTTTGAAGTGTGTTTTGAAATAAACTTAAAAACGGAAGAACGACACTTTTTCATAATGACCGCCCTTGAAACATTGAAATTACGAAGTACCGTCGACGAGGGCGCTATAAGGTTAAAGTTCATCGTGATTTTTTAAAAATAAAGTGTTGAATGTCTGCTATCCTTTTCCACTTTGCACTGTTCAGCAATCGGTCACCAACGTCTCAGTAACATTAGCCGTCTATAACAGTACGCGGTACAACATAACCATGACGAAAAATCGAGTTTTTGTCATTGGAGTCGGGATGACGAAGGTAAATAATGCATTGTTGGTCACAGGCGCTCGGAACATTTCTTGGATAATAAAAAAATTACCTAATGTATGGTCGGCATAGTTGGTCAGTCGCCGGTACATTCGCCTACTATTATATGAGTGACTAACTATGCCGACCCTACTTTATGTCATTTTTTTTATTATCCAAGATATCTTCCGAGCGCCTGTGTTGTTGGTATGACTGTATGTTACTTATGGTGCATTCAATTACAATAGTCTAGCACCCTGCCCCATTTTCAAGTTTGACCAGACTATTACAATTCTACATCAATCTCACATCTATTGGCGTTTGACCTTTGGACAGTCAGGCCAAAGTTTGTAGTCACTATCTACAAGCAAAGACATCCAAAGTTTGATGCCCAGGTCAATCTGTGAACTATTTAATATTAAAGTACAAATTATTGACCATTAATAACTTGAAATAATTTTAAAATTAACATCGGGGGGGGGGGGGGCAAGGGTGGGAGTAACTGGGTACAGGTTACAGAAAATAAAAACGGCATTTTACGTTTTTCCAGGAAATAAAATAGGTTTTTACACTTTACAGATAAAGCAAATTCCTAATTACATTTTTATAATATATTTGATAATTTGAGTTTAAGAATCAAAATTGGAAATTGCGTACGAATTACGACATTTAATGTGGCAAATGCTCTATATGCTTACAAAAAATAAGATTTTAAATAAAAAAGCTGATTACATTTTACACCTTGCTCATTTATACGAATTTACGTTTTTTATTTATTTAAATTACATTATTACGAAAATAAAAACAATTGATTACAGCTTACGAAAATACTCCTTGCCAACCCTCACCATCCTGAATAACTTTTATTTTACATTTACTAAAATCTATATTATATTTTTATATTCTATTTTTTGGTGAGTATTTATAATATATATTTTGTGATAAAAAGATCGAAATTTCCATTAAAATAAATTTTACAGTTTTTTTAGAAATTTTGTGCTTGTCTGAAATGTTGGAGTATACCTGCCTAAAATGACAGGCAGAAAGATGGCTGACTACTCCATCCTGTCAAATAAGTATGTCATGACAAGTTCATGTACTTGACGCAGTGCCATAGAACCAAACTAGGTCATCCAGCCATGCTTGAAATCCAGTGATTTTGAGGTACACATGTACAGAACCCTTCCATATTGATGTGGTCACCTGTAACAACAATACCATACATCATTATTTCATTGTAACTTTCGCCTTACATGCATCTCATACACATTTATTTTTTATTTTATAGTTTGAGAAACCAGGTCGCCGTGAGGACTTTGATTACCCAGATATGGCTAAAGAGTCCGGAACCAAAGCTCTGAAGGATGCTGGGATATCATTTAAAGACGTTGAACATGTATCAGTTGGTTATTGCTATGGCGACACAACATGTGGACAAAGAGCAGTGTATCAACTTGGAATGACTGGAATTCCTATTTACAATGTATGTACTGTTTATATTATGTTGTTCTTCTCCCCTCGTGCACATAACAGGCACCTCAACCAACACTCCCAACTGGAATATTCAGTACTTGAATGCCTGAAACTCATGTATGTGATAGTCCAATGCCACAAACCACTGAAAAAAAAAATGACCTTTCCTGCTGCCATGAAAAAAGTTTATTTTTGATGGAATAAACAAGACATACAATTTAGTTCATATTCACAATATTATGGACCAGCTACTGAATTACAAATTTGATCTGTCCCAGGATCAGTGTACTTTCAAATATTTTGTATTCAAGCACTCATACAGCCTTCAGGCATTTTTTTAGATAATTTAGGAAGGATAGCTCAAATGCTCATATTCAGGCATTATTCTGGCCCTCAGTTGCTCTATGAACGATCCTGTACATCAGCAATTGACACAAATTTTGCAGTCAAAATTTGGTGACAATAATTGCCAACCAGAATATCAATTCACTGTATGGCAACGTATTCCAAGCAGGTTTCACTGAAATGAAAAGTACTACATGAATATTCCAATGTATAAAATTTGAAAGTCAAGTCATGTGATAACTGATACTTTTTAGTATTAATCATGCGACATGTACTGTTTATTTTCAGGTGAATAACGCATGCTCCACTGGTTCTACAGCACTGCTGATGGGAAAACAGCTGATTGAAGGAGGCCTTGCAAACTGTGTCATGGCTCTGGGATTTGAAAAAATGCAGTCAGGACCCCTCTCATCATCGGTAAGAAATAGAATTTGTTATACATTGTTATACCTGTCCCTAATACATATAATTTTCACAGGAGATTTTCACAAAACATTATTGTCAATAATTTTGAGAAAGAATTGATAGACTTGTGTATCAAAATTAACAACGATGGGTGACTTGCTAGGCAATTACACTTATCACCATCCTGCAGTACATAAGTCCCCTATCAGATCTCTGTGCAATTAGTTATTCAATCCAAGCAAACTTCAGAAACCCAAATCGGATGCTAATGAACAACTAAACCCACTCCCTCCAAAATACATATGGGATGAAGAGTCCAAAAACAAATATGAGGAATGTTTGCAAAGTGACACTTTAAATAAGTTTCAGGACTACTTCAATACCAATTGTAATGTCATGGCTATTAATGATTTAACAGAAAGTCTCACATCAATGTTAATTAATGTGGGAAATAAGTGTCTTAAGAAAATAACACAAAAATTAAGGCAATCCTGGTTTGATAAATCATGTCATGAAATTAGAAGAGACTTGATTAACGCTTCAAAAATCTTATCAAATCAACCCAATAACCCATTTGCAAGAAAACAAAACTTTGATACTAAAAATTATAAAAGACAAAAAAAATTGAAAGAAATTTAAAATTACAATGATAAACCATCTTGAGAAAATATACTATAGCCGTCAAGAACACACTTAAACAACTACGTTGTGAAAAAAATAACATAACTCCTGATCCAAATTTAACAAGCATTGAGTGGAGAAACTATTTTAAAAAAAATGTTTGAGAACAAATACAATAATAGTAATAATTATCTTTTGCAACTTCTAGAACAAAAAGAGCGCATGACGAATTACAATACATTTCTATAAATGCAAAAATAACAATAAAAGAAGTTAGAAATGCACTAAAAAAAAAGTACAGAAAATCAACTGGTGAAGACAGAATTGCAAATGAAATGCTCAAAAATAAAAGTAAGTTACTAATTGAATGCCTAGCCAAACTTTTCAATGATATACTGATTAGCGGAAAGTTTCCTGATAGCTGGAAACCAGTCCTACTAAAGCCATTGCATAAATCTGGAGAAAGAAGTAATCCCAACAATTATAGAGCAATAGCCCTGTCAAGCTGCATGTCAAAACTATTCACATCAATTATGAACTCAAGACTGACTATATACATGTATCTAGATAATAATAATTTATTAACACCCTTTCAATTTGGATTTAGAAAAGAAAGGTGAACAACCGATTCCATCTTTCTTTTAAAAACAGCAGTAGACAACACATTGTATGGTAAAAAAGACAACCATCAAAAACATCTTTATAGTTGTTTCATTGACCTAAGGAAAGCATTTGACCATACTTTGGAAGGATGGCTTATACATGAAATTACAAAATTGCAAATAGTCTGTGTTAGGTAAGAGAAACAGAACAAATTAAGTCTTGCACATTAATGTACACTTGGAATGAACACTGCTGAAAGGCAATTTTTCAGATTACTGGTAATTTGGCGACTTCTTGTAGACTTTCAATAATAAATTTTTGCTAAACTGTGACAGACACTATTAAAACAATTGTCAGGGATTGAAATAGATTTTTTTTCCCTGCATGCATAATGTGCATGTTGAATTAGAAATTTACCAGCACTAACTTGTTGTGAAATGCACTACTTTTAAAGTTTAAATAACATGTATGGGTTCTTGATTGATGCGATCACGAACAAATTTGATTTTTTTATTTGTCTCACAATGTTGGTTGAACTTAATTTAAGCTTAATGAATATAATGAGAAAATGTTGTGTTAATTTCTACATGCACAGCATGCACATTATATTTTGAGTTTACTTGCACTATCTAATAATCTATGTGCTTAGTGCAGTGTGCACCAGGGTATTTCAACCTCTGAATAGTGGTTGATAAATTTCAGTCATCACAGGCAAAAAGGGTCTTGACAGTTGCATCACAGAGCTGTGACACAAGGGGAGAACACCAACTCCTTTTTCGGCCCCTGGTACAATATGAATGTCATGATTTTTAAATTAGTGAATTAACTTTAAATTAGTTTTGAATGTTTTTCTCTTGCTTGCATCATTTCAAGAAGGGAAATGTATATGAGAGAGGAATGTCCATCTTCATTGTTGTCTCTGTTGTACACTTTTCACTTGGGATTACAATTTTTCATAAATATACTAGTATCCAATTCTGTTAAAACTTGTATGTATTATTATTCTGGGATCTAGGCCAATTTTGATTTCGTCATGTGTTGTGGATTTATTATATGGTACCGTATATTGATTACAAGACACTTTGGAATGGACATCTTTCTCGGTCACAGTGATATTCACAAAAAGTATTCACAATTTTATAGCTTTTTATTACTGGCTTCTTAATTCCAACCAGTTAGATATAGTGTCACCGCATTTCATCTTGTTTTTAACAAATCCGAAATCACTCTGGATAATATTTATTTTGCATATGTACAGTGTTTGCTTTTCAAGTTTTGATAATTTTAATGGCTGTACTATAATTTTAGTACATACATGTACATTCACATAAACCCATATATATACCTATAAAATATTAATTTATAATGTAATCTGGACAAGGGAAAGCATAATTTCCTATTCTTCTGTTACTTTATGCACGGATCCTAATAAAAAAGATTTAAAGTTCACAACTAGTGATTTTGCAATATTAGGTGTTCTCCATGAGGGCTGCAGGACTTTTTTTGTTGTTTCAATTATTGTATTCACTGACATTGTATTTACGTTTTCATTTATTTTTCCCCTACTGATTTGACTGTGTTGTGTAGTGTTTGTGTTAATTGTTTTTTGACTCCCTTATGTGAAGCACACAGTAGGAATCTTTGCGGTTAGTTTGTCTGTGTTTGTGTGCTCATCTGTTCCACTGATGTCTGGAGGGATGGCTTATAATTGAAATTACAAAATTTGGGTGTTAACGACAATTTTTACAATTTAATTATTAAAATCTATATACACAAACACTAAATATAAAATTAATCTGCCATCAGGTGTTACTGATGCCTTTGAATCCACTTTTCGGGTAAAACAAAGATGTAACCTGTCCCCAACATTATTCAATATCTTCCTAAATGACCTCCCTGGTATATTTGAGGATGATATATTTAACCCTGTATTGATTAATGGTAATCCTTTAAGCTGTATTCAATATGCGGACGACCTGGTTCTAGTATCCAACACTGCAGAAGGCCTACAAAATTGCCTTAATAAATTAATGAATTACTGCACTGAGCGTAACCTCACTGTAAATACAAGGAAAATGATCTTCAATAAAGGTAATCGTTTATTGAAAGATAAAAACTTCAAAAATAAATATCGCCAATTTTAATGTACAGTTCAGAAATATGGGCCTGTGAATTATTAATTGAAAACAATGTGATGGAACAGGTCTGTAGCTCTTTTTATCACTTTATTATAGGCGTAAATAAAAAGACATCTATAATAGGTATACATGTACCACAGGTTAAACAACTACCGTAATGTTTTTGAGGAGATTTATTTTTTAGAAATTTTCAAAGCCTCAACATCCATGATCATTTATGGACAATTGTATTTTTGTTCTCATTTAATAATAACTTTACTCAAGTACATATATTACACATACAGAATGTTTAATGGTGAGCCACATATTACATGTACATTAATATTTGACATAAACCCATTGAACTAATTCACAGTTTGTATGTATGATGTATATTAATTGTGCATTTCCACATATTGTATTACTAACTATTTCATCAACTGGAAGTGCAATTTCCCCACAAAATTGAACAGTCATATAGAAACTGGCTGTTCTATAGGAATCCTAAATCCTATAGGAATCCTATAGGACATTTTCGTAAGGGGATTTTATGACTATATCACATTTTGTGTGACTTTTTCAATTTACATGTAATCTTAATATCACACACTTACGCATCCTAATCTTATAAATCCCTGGTGTCAAATATTTATTCCCAGAACACTACATGGGAAATAGTAGCTGACTGTTGTTTAGGGGGGGGGCATAATAATAACAGTGACTTAGTCTGTCACTTTAATAATAATTCTGTCAAAGTAAAAAAGGTTGTTAAGAAAGGTTGTTACTGGTAGTATAGACATTCCCACTCACACAAATCATGAGAACTGCCTCATCTTCTGAAGACAAGGCCTGGTGGGGCTGATTGTTCTTGCACTTGATATTAAGGTCTTGGATGGATTGTTTTTCTAATTTGGAGTAAATTTTTTTTTTCAGAACATGGATCGCACAAGTCCGATGGATAAACATTTACAACTGATGGCAGATACTAGAGGTATCACTGGATCACCTTTAATGCCACAAATGTTTGGAAATGCTGGCAGAGAACATATGGAAAGATATGGTGAGATCATTTCTTCACAATTACAGTTACATCATAGTATAGCTTTACAACTTTTACCGGTAACATTTGTTTGCTCTATTACAAATTCTGTATTCTCTAGGTAACATCAACAGGTCAAGCATAAAATGTTTTTTAAAATTAAAATAATTCATCAAAAACTGCAGTGAATACTTGTACCATCATATATATATATAGCCTGCGGTTTCTTTAATCGTACAGTAAAATATGATCCCATATTCATTGGCTCATATTTTTCTGTGCGGCCTGTGCAGGCATGTTTATTTTATTGTCTACACTCAGTAAAACCTCAACAATGGTGTCTTTCAAAGTTGTCCTTAGAACTATTTATAATGAATGATCGAAAACGGATGATCATTAGTGTTATTTCAACATAATTTGTGAGATCAGTATTTTGGTTTTTAATATTATTTACTTCCTGATGAGCATATTTCACAAAAAACTTTTACAGGTATTTATTGTCGTTTTATCATCTTTTTCTTTTCCAGTAAGAGATTGACTTCCCCTACCACCACTACGAGATATTTTTGCTGACTTTACAAATTTACTTTCTTAATATCTTAATTTGTGTACTGTCGTTTTACATAAATTCACATTACCACATCCATCTTATATACCAGTACTAGTAATGCTATTATATAATACCTTATGAATTGGTTCCGTCTGTCCATCACATTTCTAAGCTTTACACATGATGATAACAGTTTACGTTATTCTCGTAATTTTTTTGCTCGATCAGATTTAAAATTCACTGACTGATGCCCATAAAACTTATATTTTATTGTGTAAAGCAAACTTATAAAGGGTTGATTACTCAATCCTTGCATGGAAGTTGCGTTTATAAAAAAAAATTAAATTAAGAGATTGACATGCCTCAGTTGAACATAACATTTCCTGTCGTCACCAAACACCAGTGTTTCTAGCCAAACAACAAACTCAAAAGAAAAGAAACTTTTTACCTGAAAATTAAGTTTTATTGTCATTGAGTGTCTAAGCAGAAAAAAATGTTGAAGCCCAAAACAACCAATTTTCATTCAAACTTCTATGAATACTTGATCTCAACATGAATTCAGTCCATTATTATAGGTTATTTGTTAGAGATGATAAGAGAATCACTTTGGGGATGAAAAATCTGTGATAATAGCCAAGAGGGTAAGGAATTGTATTTCAAAAACATTTATATATAGGGTATATAATGACACATGTTGTATTTATGTTATAGGAACAAAACCAGAGCACTTTGCTAAGATTGCTTGGAAAAATCACAAACACTCTGTCAACAATCCGTAAGTACATGCATGTTCTGTTAGTGTGAGAATGGTATGTGCAGAAGTTACACCCCTTCCTGCGTTACCGTGACAGTTTAATTTATCATGTTTTTCAAATCTACATAACTACATAGAATTTAATTAACTTATAGATTTTAAAATCCAAATAAAATCCTTTTCAAAATTCAAGTTCAAGAAATCACAAAGTTTTGTTTGAGTAAAAATTTCATGGAGTGTAGTCGTTGTGTCACAAGGTCCAAGCCCATAAATGATTGCCAGCCCACATCTAATGGTTTATACAGAGTGAGCAGTTCTAGCAATGTGTCTGTGTAACCCACTGTAACTACTGATACTATGGTTTGTGTAGATATTCTCAATTTCAAGATGAATACAGCTTAGAAGATGTACTGAAGTCACGTATGATGCATGAACCATTGACAAAGTTACAATGTTGGTAAGTATGAACTACTGTGAAATATTTTATTTTAGTTGGAATTAATTTTCACTGAAAAGACATTTTGGGTGTTTTGTATGGAATTTATTTTCACCGATTTCTGACCAGTTGAATGTAAAATATAAAGGTATATTTGCTGGATTTTATTTTCACTGAATCATTCCTTCAGCGAAAATAACAAAAATTAATTCCAAGCGAAAATAAAGTATTTTACAGTAGTTATCATTTGTATGATTTTATTCCATGAATTTAATTTTTTTTCGTTTATCACAGTAATTGACATGTAGTTATGATTACTGTGAACTGATTTAATTTTGTGAGCAACTAATAGTCAAGATTCTTAGAGAATAACAAAAATTTCTTTAGCAGTGAAAATTTCTCTGAGGTCCTACAAGACAGAGTGAAAATTAAACTGTTTACAATATCATTGTGTCATCATTTGATCACCACTGGGTACATGTCTAGACGGTTATTACTGTTTTGTTGGTAATCATCATTGCCTAATTTTGATATTTTTTCCCAAAATTAAATGGTGATTACAATTTTAATTTCTTTTTGTTCCACGTCACCTGTGTGAAATCATTGATTTAAATTTCATTTTTATATGAAATAAATGTTTTTGGAGGGAAAGTATTCATTAGTGTCATGCACCTGTTGAGTATTCGGCCTTCGTTTTGGTCAGCACAGTTGTTTGGCATATTTCATTTAAATACGTTTTTCTCTGTGCCATGCCATAAAACCTGA